CAAAACCCAATGAATTATTGCTTCAATTTGTCAATTTATAGACAAAAAAAAAATATCATGTTCAGGAGGCATGACATATAACTTTAGAGAATTGCCTAGTTAGATCAATAAATCCAATAATAGCCTGTTTTTCCTAAATACTTGAATTTAATATACTATCTTATTATCAAATATTTACTTCCTCTTTCTACCTCTTTTATTGTTTAGAAGAAAGGTTGAGGGTGAAATTTGTCCAACTTTCTACATTCCACTTCTTGTCGGTTACAAACATTTGAAAGAAAGGTTTCATATTAACAGATGATCATTTCATTTCCCAGACAAGATCAATGGGGTTGGCATTTACCCAAAAATTGAAGCATTGGAGTTTACATTTCAAAAACAATAAATTGCACATCGGCATCGAAGTTACACTATAATGAAGTAGAAAAGAAAAATGCAAAATGCTTCAAATTCAATGTTCACAACATGAATAATTTTTTCCAATGACTGTAAATTGCAAAACCTAATCCTAACACATAGTTTGGCCTCTAAATGCTCACAATTTACATCTAAACATTCAATAAGCTTTGGATTCCGAGACAAACTTCAATTAAAATGCATACCTGAGACTCAATTAAAGTTGGAAGCACAATGTAAAAAAAGTTCCCGAATAACATAACGAAGAAAAAATTAACCATATAACTAAGAAGATACTCGACCTTCTGTATAATTAGCTTGGAGCAAATCAAGCCACGTATCCTATTTGTTTCCAATTACCTAGCAAAACCATGAAAATTTAAATCCGAACATTACCTACATTAAGCCAAAATCTTTTACACAGAAATAAATAAATAAAAATGATAGGCATACCAGGATGAAGGTCGAAGAGGGTACCTTGGTCAACTTGGACGAAATCAGCATCAATTGAACAGAATCTTTGTCCATTTGAGTGAGACTTTGCCCCTGTTCATGTTCTTCATTAAAATATGCATATAGCCACCAAAAAAAAGGTCCAAAAAAGAAAAAAAAAGGAAAACAGAGTGGAACGATTTTTGGCCATTTTAACTCCCGCATGAGGAGGGCCTGGAGGCAGAGCATCGTACACAACGAACTTAGTTCCCAGGAAGTTGGATATTGTGAAAAAAGGGAAAAAAACAAAAAGGGCATTATTAAGGCTCTTCTAGAAATATGAAGTATAATAATAAGAAAGGCCAAAAGTTGGCAGACCTTAATTTTCCTACGTAAGTGCAACTTCCCTTGGACATATCTTCAGCATTGAGGGAAATTATGTAGTCCGTGCACGTGGCCCGCCTGTACTTACGAGCAGCTAGAAGAAACTTGCCATCATCAGCAAGCGCTGCCAGAGACATTAAGAAAGATGTCAAAAAAAAAAAAAAAGGTCTGCAACCGCTGTCATCAAGGCATATAATGAAGATATCTAGCAAAGAATTATGGCGTGGAAGACAATATACAGAGATTAGAGCATGTGCCAAACATGATTTTAAAAGTTATTCTTTTACTCACAAAACTTACTTTTCTAGTAAACAAATCTAAACTTACTTTCTCGAAACTTTTAAGCTTCTCCAAACATGCACTAAGACGGGGAGATAAAAATAGCATTTGGAATGGAAGATGAATTTTAAAGAGCGCAGTTGGTACAAATGTTTTGATAAATAGTCTTTAAACATTCTTAGTGGCTCCTAATCCTTGCCCCATTAATCCAAACTTTCCTTTAAAAGTAAATCTGCTCCGAACATTGGTCTCAGGTATCGCGTAATTCACTTTTACAATTATATTAAAATTTGTCAACCACGTGAATCATGTAAACAATTTACTCCCCCTCAATCAAGTTAACAACTCTAAAAGAAACCAAAACTTATGTTCAAATAAGTGCGTGATGAAATCGTTATAATTAGTATACCCCTGCCCATTTGCATATTTTTTGTTTTACATCTCACAAGTCGTAAATCTTCCTCCCCGAAAGTGAACAGAATAGCAAAGCAAGAACAAGTATTAGAAGTACAATTCTAGGCATATGCTTATATCAATCTTTAAATAAATCCATCAATCAAAATAAATATACCCTTCTGTCATTTAATTAAACACGATGCCCATGATTTAACCAAGGAGCATCCTTTACATCGATGTAAAGAGGAGGAAAAAATTGGGGCCAGAAAACATACCACAGAAATCGTTAATCTTCTTGGCCATTTCCTTGATTTCCTTCTCAACTTTCTTTATGCTAGTAGAATAAGGTCCCAAGCGGATGTATGTAGTAAGGTTCTTGAACAACAAAAGAATGGTAGAGAAGGGCGTTATATTTCAAACCCAGCAAAAGCCAGTCTCATTCAATGAAGAATAATATTCTCAAATCGGCACTATTTATTAATTAACTAAATGAAAACATGTACAAATGCAAACGGAAATCTGAAAATTTAAAATAAATAAAACAGCAAAATTTGATAATAATACCTTCGAGAAATGAATGGAAGACAGAAGAACATACCATTTAAGAGAACTCGGCTCGACCCACAACAATCAACATCATCACGGCTCCACCCAGCTCCAGCGACCATGGAATGATCCCGAAACCCAAGCTACCAAGTACCACCTACCGCTGGTCTCGTCAAACCCTAATCCATCGCCACTTGCATCCTGACGGGTCAAACACAATCATCAACGGCAGGCGTTCCATCCTCTCTAAAACGAACACAGGAAAACTTAACCCAAGCATCAACCCATCACCAACTGCTTTCAGTTCCAGCACTACAGCACAAAAATAGAAAGAAATCTACACAAAAGGAAGAAATTGAAGGTGTGATAATGAGACTTACAGATGTCTCAATTTGTTCAAGTTATTATTTCGAATTCGTTTCAACGATTGAGAGAGAAGAAAGAAATTTCGAGAGAGAATGTATGAATCAAAGCTTTGGTAACACGCTGTTTTTGCAGGAGTGATATTTAGCCTACACTAGTCAACGATTGAGAGAGAAGAAAGAAATTTCGAGAGAGACTGTATGAAGCAAAGCTGTGGTAACACGCTGTTGTTGCAGGAGTGATATTTAGCCTACACCATTAGACCCTTGTAAGAATTACTTTGCCAGTGAAATTTTGACGGTAAAATGAGGGCAAAATGGGAAAGGTACAAATACATCACAAATGAACAGTGCAGGGACATCCCCTCTTTTAATAGATGAATGATAGTAGGATATATTTAAAAAGACCCACAACTTATAAATATTTAAAAGTATGGTCAAACAGCTTGCAAATTACATGAAGTAGCTGCCAACATTCTGCCTGCATTTTAAAAGATTTGATATTGTTCTTGAAAAATCAATAAAAATGATCAGGCCAATCCCACCCAACACAACTCGTGTATGGGCTAAGTTAGTTTAAAGTGAAAATTACATACAACTAGAATTTTAAACTTCTCAATTCCAAATTAAGATTTACAAGATTATTTTTTTTCAAAAATCAGATAATAATTTAAATTTTAAAATATTATAAAATTAAAACTAATCCAGCCCACCCCCAATTTCTTCTCAAACCCTAAACTTCATTTCCAGAATCCTCTCCATCTCTCTCTCTCTCTCTCATATCCGCCGACCGAAATCAAAATTTGCAAAAAAATTTACGTTAGGCTATTATATCATTTATTGGATGTTCGATAGAATTTTCCATTTTGATCTGATTGTATAATGTTCTGTAAGCAAATCTCCGTTGGGAAATTTAACGTCAGGTTATTCTGCCATTACCATGGATTCTGATTGTGCAAATCCCCATTGGTTGAACAAATCTCCATTTTTCCAACTAATTGCGCTTTATTCTGCCATAGATTCTCAATCCTACAGAATTTTTTGCCGACATTGTTATTGAACATGAGCATGATTCAACTAGTGGGCTTTTCTCTTTTGCCATCTTTGACCGACTGACTATTTGTTGTACAACTGGTGTCATATGGGGTGCTGCCAATTATCATTTCTTAGAGATAATTAATTTTGCAAATTGTCTCATTTGTCCTTTCCCTTGGACGAATAAAATTTAATGCCCATTTGATGCACATTAAAATAAGAGAATACATTTTTTTGAAGTGATATAATGAAAAATGTGTGGTTGATAAAGAAGGAAAAGTTATTGATGTGATGAAAAATATTATTTTATTAAATAATGTGTGATTGAAAATGAGTAAAAGAATGAGAATGAAAAAAAATAACGTGGCTCAAACATGAGTTTAGTCTAGATCTAGACTATGATTATTTTGATGTAGTTGAGTGTACTTCGCCCCGTTTGGCCTTTATTGTTTCTCATTAAATTATAATTCATTTTTCTTTCTCTTCTTATCAATTACACATTTTTCAATAAAATATTATTACACATAAACCCAAAAACTTTTTCTTCTTTTTTAACCACACATTCTCTAAAAAATTAATATTTCTCTCATTATAATTTGGAATAATTTGGGCCAAACGGGTGCGAACATTTGAAATACAAACTCTAGTTTTGTTTAAGAAATTGTACCGAAAGAAATAGAAAGCTCTATTGTGGTAGTGGTGATTGTGTAGATGGCGGTGGTGATGACAATTGTGGTGCAACTAGTGGTCACAGTGGTGCAGGCAATGTCGTCACAGTGATGATGAAACAGTGGTGGGTTTTGGTTTGTTTAAGATAGAGATGGAGATGGCCGTAGTGGTGGTGGTTGTGTAGATGGCGATGGTGATGACGATTGTGGTGCAATTGTTGGTCATGGTGGGCGATGCCGTCACGATGGTGGTGAAGTAGTGGTTTTTTTTTTTTTTTTTTTTT